TTCCTCATTTTCTGTCGTCTTTCTCGAAGACTCACTATTCCGACTCCTTACAACATCTGATTAGATGCATGAAATGCTTCTCGTTTGCTTTTTCTTGTTCATATGGGCCGGCGCAGATAATTTAGCCGTAGTAATCGTACGGCTAGTTTATCGTGACTGCTAGTGCGTCTAGTTTTTTGAGGCTACAAAGAACGGCCCCAACGAGCCAACCACATCGGCTTTTCTGCACGATCCATATGCACTTGTTTTCGCGCAGCTGTAAAACAAACTTGCAGTAGCTAGCCGTAAATTCTGTTTTGGTTCTATCTTAATTTCTTCGTAAGAAAGCGCCGTCACAAAAGATGATTCAAACTCAATAAATTTCGTATTTTTTCTCATTTCTCTGCTCTTCTTTTATGACATTCCGCGATTATTGTAACTGCTGATCCTTACTACTGTTTTTATTCGCGACATATTCTCATAACTCAATCGTTTTCATCAAATAACTTATAGAGTTTGTCGAGCACAAAGTTTACCAATGTTTTCCAGGTTTACTAATATTACTGCGTCTTTGTGCAGTCATACTTACCCACAAAGATGTCGTTCTCTGGACTTCGGAAGCAGTTCAATAAGGCGAATCAGGTAATATTGGAATTTTTTATACCAAATAGTCATTCAAGTCGAAGCACTTTTGTTTTAGTATCTATCGGAAACGATGGGTGCTGCCGAAGCCACGAAACTTGACGATCAGTACAATGAGATGGAGAAGGTACGATCATACAAATTTTCCAAATTTTCCCTCTTTTACCAAGTTTTATCTATTTTTTTTTTTGACTTTGCAGCATATTGACACGACGTATGAGTTGATCAGTGCTCTTATCGCAGGGACAAATGAATATCTGCAACCTAATCCAGGTAAGCTTTCTTTCCAAAACGCCTTTCGTTTGGTTATTGCCCTAATTTTTTGCTTGCAAAGCGGTCAACAATGTCCGCATACAACATCAGTTTCATTTTTGAATGAGTTCAGCGACCCGAGCAAAA